TTAAACAAACAAGAAATAAAAGACTTATATGAATATTTATAATAATGAAATAAACAATTAAAAAAAAAAAAGGAATCACCAATAATAAATATAGATTAAACAGATTAATTTAAAATGCACAAAAAATTATGAAAATAGAAAAGACATATTTAAAAATAAAACTAAAATAACTATATAAGATAAACAAGAAAAATCATTATTATATTAGGAAACCATAAATATAAATAAAAAATAATTTAATTTAAAATAATTATTAGAAAAATATAATTATAAAGAAAAATTATTAAGTTCATTTACATTAATATATTAATTAAAACATATATTAGAATAAAACGAACTACCTAAATTAATATAGAATAATAAATAATAAAATTTATATATATAATTTGTTAATTAGGGATCTAAATAAAATTTAAAAACAAAAATTAATTAATTAAGAGAATAACAATATAATAATATAAAAATCACTTAAATCAATATATATGTTATTTAGTTTTAATAACCTAAAATATATTAAAAATTTAAAATTTATAGGCAAATAAGATAAACTAACAAGAATTTAATCTAATAAATGATATTAGTTAAAACATTAAAAATAATAACAATCAATTAAGCATAAAAAAAATAAAAAAAAGTAATATACCATATTAAAAAAATATATAAAAAGAAATTTATATATAGCTATACAAAGAAATAATATATAATCTAAATTAATACAAAACCTAACTACAATAATTATTAACCAAAAATTTAACTATAAAAGAATCAAATTAAAAAAAAATCTAAGTAGAACTAAAAAAAATTAATACCACTAAATCCACTATCTTTAGAAATATAAATATAAAAAACTAACAAACTTTAAGACAAAAATAAGAACAAAAAAGAAAGAAAAAAAAGAAAACACATAACAGTCAACAAAAAAAAAGAAAAAATAAATAATTACTACTAATAAATTTAGAAATATACAAAGATTAATATAACTAAAATAATAAGAATAAAATAAAAAATAAAAAAAAGATATAGATAATTAATAATATTACTAAAATATAGAGTAAATTCAAAATGAATATTTATACTTAATAAGTATATTAAAATAAAAAGCTAACAATTCTATAAATAAAATAGATACAGAATTAATTCTAAAAAATATCAGAAATAAATAAATAAGTAGATAAATTAGACTTAAATATATCAGACTATCGCTCTAAATTTTATTATTGTAAACACAACTACATAGGAAATATTATACAGTAAAACTAATATAATAATAAAAATTCTAAAAGTAATTATATTATTACAAAGAACTATTAATCATATCGCTCATCACAAAACCAAACTAAAAATAACAACTAAAAAAACAGTAAAACACCACCAAGACCCAAGAAACATACGACCCACCACAGAATCACAAAGATAAATAAAACAAAATAATAAATAAGAAAAAACAAAAAAAATAAAACAAATAATACCTAAAAAAACCACCAATTTAACAACAAAGCTACCAAGTACTAAAATAAAACATCCAATAAACCGCTAGCTTCATCAAGAAAAATAGCAATCACCAAATTAAAATAACCATAAAAAAAACAAAAAACTAATAAAGGAAGAAAAAAAAAAAAAATAAGAACGAAATACTCTAAAAACTACCCCACAAACCACACATATACAAACCTCGAGTGGGCGACCCATCAGTGACGCCCCCTCAAAAACACAAAAAAAAAAAAAAAAAAACTACAATAAATCCGGAAGCCCACAACCACACACCCACCTACCGTAAAACTAGCCGACACACGAATTCTCTGTTACAAGGCACACGAATCAGTACCCCGCCACGCCCTTACCAATACAACTCATACGCACCGACACACCACCCCGCAAAAAAAACAAAATAAAAAAATCTACGATACAACCTATAATATAACCGCTACAAACACAAAAAAAAACTTACAATCCTAAATGAACAACAGGCTACATACCCAACAAAAAACAACTAAAATACGTATAACTAAACCCACACAAATAAAAAAAAAAAAAAAGAACAAACTACCCCCAACAGGAACCAGTACAACATACAAATAAAAATAAACCAGATAATACCCCCAATAAGAAAATATAAACAAAAAATCCTCAAAAATCCCCAGAACGACATTCTTCACCAACCACGAACCAAAAAAAACACATATCGTACTAACCACAAACCCCATAAAAAAATATCAAACCATATAAAATAAATAATCGAAAAAAATATAAAAGCAAGTCCACATACCCCCCCCTATACCAGACCAAGAGTACCCTCTACCACTAACCTCACATCCCACTTCAAGAAAAAAAAAAACATCCTATCCATCTTCCCGCACAACCAATCTCCTCAAAAGAATGAACAACACCAACCCCCAACTATACCACAACTCCAACCACCAATAACGCACATGGCACGCACGACATAAAAAAAAATATACATCCAAGATAAAATCAAAAACATAAACAAAACTAACAATTAAAACAAAACTAACACGTAACCAAAAATCAAATAATAATCCAACCCCCACCCCCCCCCTCCCACACCCACCCCAAAAAACACCCCATAAAATAAAAACCCTCCCCATACTTGACACCTAAAAAAACATAATCCACAAATCTACTAACCAAAGCTAATAAGTAGAAAATCCTCCAAACTCTCCTACCAAGCACACACCAGACAATAAAAGAACTATCACAGCTAAACGGAAACCTCCACCGCGATAAAAAGTAACACAAGAAAAAAGAAATAGACACCAAACCGTAAAAAACCCCAATAGAACAAGCCACATAGCACAACAAAACTAAAATTAACCAAACACTTATATAAGGCAACCCTTCAAAACAAACCAACCAAATGCTCAGCACAAACCCACCTAAACAAAATAAAAGTACACAAAAACCACAGTCCATTACAAAATAATAAAGAATTATAAACAGAAAAATCTATAAAACCAAATAAACATAAAACTAAACATAAGACTAAAACAAATAAAATACACATTCAAGTAGCATAAAAATTTACATCTCAAAAATATAAGAACTTAAACTTATCTATACAAAATAACAAGATAAACTAAGCCTAAAATCATAGAACATATAAGCAAAACTAACTTAGAACCAAAAAAATACATTAAACTCCCTACAACTTTAAACAAAAAATACCTATCTCAAATAAAACATAACCATCTCGTCTAAAAATTAATACAATAACACTACAAACATGAAAAATATAACAATTAACAGCTGCAGGAGAGAACAAAAACAAATACCACCACATAAAAAACCTAACAAATAAACCTAAACAATAAATACAGACAAACAAAATAAAGCAACGAACAAAATCAGGCAATAACTATAGATAACAAGAAATAAAAAAGAAATAAGAAACCAATTACCCCTCCAGAAAAAGCAATATCAACCCCTTAAATACAAAAAAACCAAAAAACCCCAAATAACCAAATAACAACAACAATACTAACAAAAAAGAATATTAAACCCTTTCAAAAACCCAAAAAAACCCTTTTTCTAACCCATTTTAAATTGTTACCCTTTTTAAAAACCCCTTTAACACACAATTTTAAAAACCTTTTATCTAACTTAAAAACACCCCAAAACCTCTAAACTTTTTTTTTGTAATTTTAAACTTTAAAAAACCCTTTAAAAAACTTGAAACACCGAAATTTAACTCGTGTTTTGTTGTTAACAGTACAACCCCAAAAACCCAGGGGTTTAAAAATTTGTTTTTTTTATTCAAAATTTAAAAAAATGGAGGAAAAATTTTGAAACCTTTTTTTTTCACCTCCTTTTTAATAACTAATTTTAAATATATTTTTTTTTAAAACTAACCCAAATTTTCCCTTTTTCCTAATGTTTAAAAGGCCCTTTTTGTTGGTTTAAGCAATATATCTTGTTTTTCCCCCCCATCGGGTTTTTCCTTTTTTTTCTCCGCCGCACAGCTATATGGCCCGTTTGGAAAGGCACTGGCAATGGGAAACGGCCGTTCCCATTTTCCTTTTCCCTTTATCACCGGTTTGGGCCACTCAATTTTGAAAAAAACCCGGGTTAAAAAGGCTGTCCCCGGCAAAGGGGATCCGGGCCCGGCCCCGCAACCCGCTTTAAAGAGGGGTTGCCAAAAAGGGTACTATTAATTTGCAAAAAGAAAAGGGGCGTTTCCAAGAGGTTTGGAAAAAGGCCCAGGAAAAGGAAATTTTCCCGTGGGGGGGTTTTAAAAATAAACACCCCGGATTTATACCCGCCCATTTAATGACGGGGCTTTTTACCGGAAGAGGGCCCAATTCCCTTTTATTTCCCGGACTTGAGGGGAAAAGGAAAACCCGGGTCCCGGGAAAAGGAAAGTTTGTGTAGGGGCCCAAAATAAAACCCGGGAAATTTGCCAGGTGTATTTTTGTTTTCCAAAACAAAGGGAATTTTAAAGGATTGAAACCCAGAACCCATTTTTTCTAATTTTGCATTGTTCTTTTCCCCCCTTCCTTTTTTCCCCCCCCCTCCCGAGCGGGCACTTTTTCCCCCTTTAGGAAAAAATTTGGGGGGCTTCCAAAAAAGCACCACCTTTTCCGATTTTTTCTGCCCCCCTTCCTGAATTTTTCCCCTCCCAATTGCCAAAAACCAAAACCCAAAATTTGTCCTTTTCCCAAACCCTTTTTTTCAGAATTTTTCCTTTTCCCACCGGTTCCCCCCATTTCAGTGTCGCCCATCCCCCCCTGCATTTCCAATTTAACCCTCCATTTTCCTCCATTCAATTTTTCCCCCCCACCCTCTTGCCCAATTTCCCTTTCCAATGGTCCCCCATTCCCTTTCCTCCACCCCCCCCTGCCAATCCCTCCATGGTCCCCATTCAGTGTCCTCCACCCCCCTTGCAAATCCTCCCCGGACCATTCAGTTTTCCTCCCCCCTCTCCTGCAAAAACCCCCCACTGGCCCCCATTTATTGGGCCCCCACCCCTCTGCCCAAACCCTAGTGTCATCCACCCTCTCTGCCAATCCCACACTGGCTCCATTCAGAGTCCTCCTCCCCTCTCTGCCAATTCCCTCCACGGCCCTCCATTCATGTCCTCCACCCCTCTTCTGTGCAATCCCTCCACTGAGCTCCACTCAGTGTTCTCCACCCCCCTCTGCCAATCCTCCACTGGCCTCCATTCAGTGTCCTCACACACCTCTCTGCAATCCCTCCACTGATCTCCAAACAGTGTTCTCCCACCCTCTCTGCCAATCCGCATCCACTGGCCTCCATTCAGTGTCCTCCACACCCTCTTCTGCCAATCCCTCCCCACTGATCTTCACTCAGTGTTCTCCCAACCCCTCTCCTGCCAATCCCTCACACAGATTCTCCACTACAGTGTTCTCCCACCCTCTCTGCCAATCCCTCCACTGGCTTCCCCATCGCCCAACCGAATAAAATTCAAAACATTAACAATCACATATAAAACCATTTATAACTCCGCCTCCAAATACCACCCAAACTTCCTCTCAGCTTCTCACAAAGACCTCCTGCTGCTCTGTAGCTCCCTTTCCCTCCCTCCTCCTCCCATGCTTCATCTCCAGGACTTCTTCCAGAGCCTCCCGCCTCCTCTGAAACTCTCTACCCCAAACTTCTCTTCCTAAACATCCACCCCTTTCTAACGTTTCCCTATCTTCCATCTCCCTTTTTACCCAACCTTCACTGGCCTCCACCAAGTGTCCTCTTCACTCTTTGCCAATCCCTCCAAATTGGGCTCCCCCTAGTGCCCTCCACCACTCTCTGAAAATTTTTCCCTCCCCCCTGGCCCCCCATCGTGGCCCCCTCGGCTCCCTCCCACAAAACCCCCTGCTCTCTAAATCCTTTTTTTCCAAATCCAATGATCATCTCCCCGGGCTTTCCATTTGTCCCCCCCTCATCCTTTTGGAAACCCCTAACCCCAATTTTTCCGGGCTATCGTTTACTCTTCTCACTTTTAGGTGATTCTGAAAAAACCCCATCTCTTCAGGGGAAAAAGCTATCCGCCCTCACTAATAATGGGAAACTTTTTACTTCCTTTCCCAACCCCCTCCAACCCCCACAGTTATTACCTTTTGGACCTCGGTTCCCAAAATTTTAAGCTCCCCGGATTTAGGGCCCCCCTTTTCCCTCTTGGGATTGTTCTTTTTGTTTTCTGTATTTTCTCCCGTTAAAAATTGTTTTCAGCGCTTTAGCAAAACTGTTGGCGCCATAAAAACCTTTTAAATAAAAAAAAAGCCTTTTTTGTTTGAAACCCTTTTAAAAACTCAAATTATTCAGGGAAGCCCACCTCACCCTCCCCCAGATCATCACCCGAAGCTCCCCCCTTTTTGGTTTCACAACCCCCCCCCCCCCTTTAGCTTGTAAGTCCACGAGGGGCCCGGGTCCCCCCTTTTTTTCCCGCGCTGAAATGGGGAATTGACTCCCTCAAGGGGGTTTTTGGGGCCCAAAACCCCAGTGGATTGCTGGGAAAGGAAAAATCCTTTTGGGTTCTTTCTTGGTTACCCAGGGAAAATAATTTTGGGTAGAACTTTTTTTGGGAAAAGTGGAATCCAGGGAATACCCGATTATTGACCCGGAAAAAATCCGATTATTGATCCCAAAGGAAAAATTTTCCCATAAAAGATCCGGGAATATCCTAATTTAAATTTATCCAGGGGGGTTTATATTTTTTTTTTTTTTTTTTTTAAGTCCGCAAAAATTTCAACTATAAAAGAAAAAACCCCTAAAATGTTCACAAAAAAAAATGCAAGGTTTCCAAAAAACCAACAAAAAAAAGGGACTTGGGGGTTGTGCTGTGTCCTACCCCTAAAGGGGCTTGGGCCCCCTTTCCCTGATCCCGGGGGCCACGAAGCTTCCTGAAAAGGGGACAAGGTTCCCAATTGGTCCTCTTGGCCAAAAGGCCCGGTGGCCCCCAACCGGTTCCCTATGGGCCCGCCGAAGCCGGAAAATCCGTACTAGGCCCAAAGGGGACTTTTCCCGGGAAAAAGAGTCCCCTGGGATCAGGGGGGGAAAAGGGAAAAATTTTTGGGGCCCCAAACCCTTCCCCCCGACTTCGGGTTTGGCCCAAGGGACCCACACCCCTCCCCTCCGTGAAAAAAAAAAACAAAAATTTAAAAGCCCAAAAAAAAAAACAAAAGTGGGGTGCAAAAAAAAAAATAAAAAAAAATAAAAAAGTGGGTTTCCCTCCGAAAAGTGCCCCCAGACGGGCCTGAGGCCCCTTTGCAAAAAAAATTTCCCTGGTTTCCCAAGGCCAAAAGGCCCGGTTCCTTTTGGGCGCTGTGCAAAAAAAAGGTTTTAAAAAAAGTTGGCCATTTTTTCATCTTTTCCACCGTGGGGTCCCAACCCCCCAACCCCAAATGTTACTTAGTGGGAAAACCCCCTTTGGGGAGCTTTCCCCAGGGGGCACTGGGAAATTTTGAAAAAACTTTTTGCGTCCCCCGGCCCCCGGCCCAAACCAAAAGGGAAAAACCCCCGTCCAAAACATAATTGGGGGGGGTTTATTTTTGTTTTCCCCGAAAGGGAAATTTCTCCCCAAGGTTCCCCGAGTTTTATCGTCGGCCCCCCCCTGGTTTTTTTGGGCCCTCCCGGTTTCCCGGGGCCTTCCGGGGGCCCCCATCATACCAGTGAGGGTTTTATACAACAACCCTCCCCCCCAAAAGGGTAGAATGGTCGGGGGGGGCACCCCCTTTTTAAAAACTGGTTAAAGAACAGGGTTTTCTTACATTGATCTTAGCCAAAAGGGGGCCCAGAAAGCGAATTTCCTCTTTCCCGGGGGTTAGGAAGAAATTTTTTTCCACCCGCAGGAGCACATTTTTGGGGTTTTCTTTGCTGGGGTTTTTCCTTCCTCTGGATCTATGTTGGGGGGGGATTATAACTTTTTTTTTTTTAATGGTTTTAATTGGATGGACTTGTTTTTTTCCAAACCAGACTTTAAATATGTAACTAAAACATGGAGGGAAAATTTTAAAACAAGGGGTACATTAAAGGGTGGTTTTTTTTTTAAAGTTTTTTTTTCTTTATATGTTTTAAAATGATGTATGGGTTTGGAAAAGGAGTTAGAGGGCCTTTGCATAAATTTTTTATTTTTAATTTCATAAAGGAAAAAACCTGGGGAGGGGGGGGGGGGCGTTCAATTTTTTTTTGTGTCATTTATTTATTTTCAGGCACTCATTCTTCTCATTTAGCACCGTCAATTTACGCAGCGCTTTCCATATATTATTGTACATTCACATCAGTCCCCGCCCCCCGAGGAGCGTACAATCTAAGGTCCCTAACTCACATTCATACACACACATACCAGGGCCAATTTGGACAGGATCCAGTTATCCAACCAGCATGTCTTTGGAGTGTAGGAGGAACCAGAGTACCCAGAGGAAAACCCACGCAGGCACAGGGAGAACATGCCAACTCCAGGCACTGTGATGCCATGGTTGTGTTGCCTGGGGCAACACAAAAGCTAAATACACACCACCGGGCCCCCTACCCGGAAATTGCGAAATCATGTATATATTTCGTAACGTTCGCGCCCCACTTACAGACAGAAATGAGGGTCAGAATATAAAAACAAAAAAAACCCCATAAAATAATAATATAAAAAATAAAATAAAAAATGTAATGCAATGCATTCTTTTTTAAATCGCAGCACACACCGACCTGAATCGCATTGCAATGACAGGCAGTGCAGTGTATCGCGTCTCCCGGACATTGCAGCGAATGAAGTGTATTTTTTATGTACACTTCAAATAATGCTGGTACAACAAAAAAAAAATAGGTTTAGTGCGCTGAATCGCACGCCACACTGCTCCCTAGTGCATCCGGCAACAGAGAGCTGCGGCAACTCTCCTACTAGTGTGAATTTGCCCCCACCCACATGGAAGAAAAATAATATATTTGAAATATATTTTAAAAAATATTCTTCCCAAATATATAGCCATATATTTGAAATACTACAATTTTGGCCGTATTCAATATATTTCAAAATATATTTCAATAAATAAATAATATATAGATTTTGCATGTTGAAATGCTTTTTTATAACAAGATATATGATAAAATATTTTCAAAGATACGTTTTTGAAATATACCCGTATGTCTTTAAAAATACAAATCTACATTTTTGGAATGCATTTACAAATATATGTTTAAAAACTGACTATTTTATATGTTGAAAAAAATCTGAAGAAAATATTTAAAAAAAATATATTTTTAAAAATTATATTCTTCATTATTTTTTTTACATTATTATTATATCAGTGTTTATATATTTGTAAATGTTTTGTATTTTTACAAAAAATATTTTTCATATATTTTGTTTCGTCTTTCTAGAGACATTCGTTGTTCTTTTCTGGATGGAGCCGTCTCTGCCAGCTCAGAGATGTGCAAATCTCTTCGGCAAACAAACGTTTACGTAGGAGGTCTCATTGAGTGTAGGCACGTAGGAGGTCTCATTGAGTGTAGGCACGTAGGAGGTCTCATTGAGTGTAGGCACGTAGGAGGTCTCATTGAGTGTAGGCACGTAGGAGGTCTCATTGAGTGTAGGCACGTAGGAGGTCTCATTGAGTGTAGGCACGTAGGAGGTCTCATTGAGTGTAGGCACGTAGGAGGTCTCATTGAGTGTAGGCACGTAGGAGGTCTCATTGAGTGTAGGCACGTAGGAGGTCTCATTGAGTGTAGGCACGTAGGGTCTCATTGGTAGGCACTCTCATTGAGTGTAGGCACGTAGGAGGTCTCATTGAGTGTAGGCACGTAGGAGGTCTCATTGAGTGTAGGCACGTAGGAGGTCTCATTGAGTGTAGGCACGTAGGAGGTCTCATTGAGTGTAGGCACGTAGGAGGTCTCATTGAGTGTAGGCACGTAGGAGGTCTCATTGAGTGTAGGCACGTAGGAGGTCTCATTGAGGTGGAGCTGCATATGTGCGTACCTGTGCAGCACACTCCCAGCACAGAGACCGAGCTGTCACCGACAGATCTAGGTCTCGTATTAACCATTAGCCACCCGGCCAATGGCCGTTTGGCGGCTTCAGATGTGCCTCTTCATTCCGGGTGCACGCCATTTGGCGTGCTCCCGCACATGCGCAGTTTGCGCTAATGCAGAGCGGCGCAGCAGTGCGATCTGTCACCGGCCGTGCACCTCGGACACGGCCGATGACAGATCCGAGTACCGACTCCCGTAGCTGGTACCATGTGACCTGCTGTGACCAATCACAGCAGGTCACATGACAGTTGTATACAATGGATGGCTTCATTCATGATGCCATCCATTGTATACTAGTGCCTAGCTGTGAATGGTCACAGCTAATCACATGCACATGTCATGTGATTAGCTGTGACCAAATCACAGCTAAGCACAAAAAAAAAAAAAAAAAAAAAGCTGAATGAATCGATTTCATTCAGCTAAATGCTTGCTTATAGCAAAGTAATTCTTTGCTATAAGCAAATTGTGTAAAAAAAAAAAAAAAAAAAAAAAAAATACTGATCACTTCCCCAAAGTAGTACAGTGTTACTATGGTAACATTGTACTACTTTGGTCATAGTAAAATATGAAAAAAAAATCTTAAAAAAAATTAAAAAAAATGTAATAAAATATTAAATATAATAAAAAAATTAAAAAAAATTAAAAAATATATATATATATATTTTTTCATACTGTCACCAGTCAGTGTCCCTGATCACCGCCATGCCAGTTATATGATGATGCTGTACTGCACTGGTGACAGTATGTAAAAAAAAAAAATAGTGAAAATAATTTTTTTAATTTTTTCATTTTCCGA